CAACCCTGCTGTTTTAACATCTTTCTAAAATCTGTCTACATGTTCTCTCCTCTAATTCCCACTGGCTGTTGGGAGGCCTGTAGTATTCTCCCAACACTGTGATTTCACCTTTCCTGTTTCTGAGTTCCACCCACATTGCCTCATTGCACGAGTCCTCTGATGTATCCTCCCTCAGTCCAGCTGTGAGATGCTCCTTTACCAGTAATGCAACTTCCCACTCCTTTTACCTCCCTTTCTACCACATCTGAAACATCTAAATCCTGGGATGTTCAACTGCTAGTCCCACCCCTCTTTCAGTCAAGGCTCTGTAATCGCAATAATGTCGCAGTTCCAAGTACTAACCAACGCTCTGAGCTCACCTACCTTGTCAATTATACTTCTTGCATTGAAACATGTGCATTTCAGACCACCTCCCCTGCTCCTTTCAACAGCTTTTTCCTGCCTGTTCTTAGTAATGTTTGCCCTGGTTTCTGTCTCTCCCTCAATTTCTGCATCTGCTCCCCTACTCCTCTGGTTCCCATTCCCCGTCACACTAGTTTAAACCCTCCTCAACCACTCTACCAGTAACTCCCCCTCAAGGATATCAGTCCCGGTCCTGCCTAAGTGTCACCCATCCAGTTTGTCCCACCTCTGCCAGAACTGGTCCCAATGCCCCACTAATCTGAAATCCTCCGCATCACACCATCTTTTCTCCCACGTGTTCATCCTATATATCCTGCTGTTTCTACTCTGACTAGCTCGTGGCACTGGTAGTGATCCTGAGATATCTACCTTTGAGGTCCTACATTTCAACTTTCTTCCTCGTTCTCTATATTATACTTTCAGGACCTCAACCCCTTTTTCACATGTACAATCACAACCAATGTGACCCACGGCCACTGGCTATTTGCCCTCCCTCTCCAGAATGTTCCTGCAACTGCTCCGAGACATCCAAGACCCTAGCACCAGGGAGGCAACATACCATCCTGGACTCTTGTTTGCAAGCACAGAAACATCTATCTATTCCCCTTACGATTGAATCCCCCATAACAATAGCATTTCTATGCCTATTTCTCCCTCCCTCTGCAGCAGAGCCAACCATGGTGCCATGAATTTGGCTGTTGGTGCTTTACCTGAGAGGACATTCACCTCAACAGTATCCAAAACAGTATATCTGTTTTGCGGGAGAATAGCAACAGGAGATTCCTGCACTGCCTGCTTAGCCCTCCTGCTCTGCCTGATGGTCATCCATTCCCTTCCTGCCTGTGGAGACTGAATCTGCGGTGTGACCAGCTCTATATGTGCTATCCACGATGCTCTCCGCCTTGCAAATGCTCCACAGTGTCCCCAGATGCCGCTCCAAATCTGAAATCCAGGCTTCCAGGAGTTGCAGCTGGAGACATTTCTTGCACACATACGGGTCCTGGGCACTGGAAATTTACTTTTTATCGCAGACTGGGATTCTTTTGTCAGAACATTCAACAATTTGATAACTGAAGAAACAATTTGATAACTAAAGCTATACGAGAGTGAAACTAGAGAGAGCACAAAACCAAGCAGTACCATCTCCAGAAGTCTCCAAAAATCACACTGCCAAAATCCAATCAGAACCGGTTCTCCCTTGATTGAAAATTCAACATACAACCATCTGCCAGCCCTGGATTGGTGCTGATTCATCTACTTTGTACTTAGATTCAGTAATTCGGTTAAATTATTTTTCCAGGCCAGTTCCCAACATCCAAAATCTGTCTATTCTTTTCTCTTTTAAACCAAGTTCAAAGTTCAATTCTTTACTTCAAACCAAAATAAAAGAAAAATCAAATTGAAATAGTGATAGTCTGTACAATTATGTCTTGCTAAAACCATGCAAAAGTAAACATGAAATAAAATTAAGGAGAAATGACAGTATTCCACAAATAAGATCTAAAACAGACAGACCACAAGATAGCCCAATCCCCAACTTTACAAAACTAACAAATAGTATGGGAATAGTTATGAATTTCATAAAGTCTATGATCCATGGGCTCGAATGAAAAACATGCAGAGTACAGTTGGTACATTCCCGCTAATTTCTCCAGCCGCTGTGTCGACTCCAAGGTCTACGTGAATCTGTAGACTTTTTAGTTTTGCATCTTTTAATACAATGGACCACAAATGATAAAGAACATTTTTTTTAAGATAACAGGTTTACCAGGATGGCTGCATAATTTCACAGCAACAAATTTGATACCTATAGTAAACTCTCTTTCTGTATCTGTGGGTTCCTGCAATGTGCAAATGATCAGGAGCTAATAATTTGTTTACAAGTGAAGCTGATTATTTCTCAGCTAACTCAGCAGTTGGAACTGGAAACAAGTCAGAAATACAGATGCACAAAGAAACAAAGACACATAAGTGTATTGCAGTTGTTCTCGCCAGCAACAACCGCTTGTTCGCTGCAGTAAAAAAATCCTGTTTAAGCTCAGAAAAAAAAATTTCCTGCAGCAGTGTGACTTTTGAATTAATAAATCTGAAACATGGTCCAAGTGAACTGTCCACTCTGCCATTTACAAACCAGCGGAAATATTCAGAGAGGACAAATGAATATCAACAACCTGGCGAGCCGAAGAAGGATTATCTCAACATCAGAACTGGGAAGCTGAGACCACTGAACTGACTTTCCAGTTTTCCATCTCTGCCAATAATCTATTTTCCAAATTTTATTTGTATAAGTGTGTAAGGGGTAGTTTATATATGTTCTACACCAATCATTTGCAATGAATAACAATCCTTGTTCAGTACAGAAACCTGGCTCATGCTTTCTGTCAACCTTGGTTTGAAAGTTAGGTAAATTGGGGAACGGAGTAGTGGGACTCAATTTGCAATGTGCTACCCTAGTGGCTTGTAATACATATTAATAATTTTACGCCATATTATGATTCCGTTTTTTATTTCTCTCATCACCACAATTCTACACCAGTGGCCACCATAATCTTTCAATAAACCAACTAGATATCTATCTCATCAGCATCATGACATCTTAATATTGTACAACAGTTTCCATTCTAATTCTGATGTTATTCACAACAGTTAAAATGAAATCCATCCTTTTGGTGCTCCAGCAGTTTGTGGTTGAGAGCACTGTTTGTCTGTTCTGGGGGTAAATCAATAACTCTGCATGATTAGGACAATGTCTTCTTTTTAGTGATCCAACAGCAATCTGTTTCAACCTTAGTTGAACACAGTGTTCCGTTGAGGAACAGCTTTTGGAATGTAATCCCTCAACAGTACAATGGATCAAATGGTTGTGTTACGTCTGACAAGTCTTCAAACTAAATTTGTTACAAGCAAAGACACTCCACAATGTAGTCTTTTATTTAATAGGTTCTGTGAGTCAGTCAAAGATTCAAGAAGTGATATTTTTCTGACTCAAACTATATTTGGCAGGTCATACGAAACAATCTGAAAGCTAAATGTCTGTAGAGATGAGAAAATTCTACTTGGCTTGCAGGTGTTTGCTCAAAACTGCTTAATTTTTCTCCTTCAGGTCTCAGTTGGACGTGGCATATCTCTCTCTTACATGTTTACTCCAAAACAAGATTAAAAATAATCAACATTAAAAAGAAGTAATTGAATGAACTTTGGCTTTCACTTCAGTGAACATGAATTCTGCTGATTATACCATTGAGTACAGCTCCTTTATCAGACAGCACATTATTTTTGCAACTGGTACAATTCAGGCTTAGGAATGTATTAACTTGTGTGTCTCTCGTCTTCTGCACCTCCAGAATATCAAGACTATATTTCAGTGAAAAATCCACTCCTTTGCCCAGAAATTTGTTTCTTAATTCTTCATTTGTGGAATGTGGACCTTGTTAGCTAGGTCAGTATTTATTGTTCATTCCTAATTGCCCCAGGGAAAGTGGTGGTGAGCTGCCTCTTGAATCACTCCAGCACTCGGGGGGTGCAGGTACACCTATGGTGCTGACAGAGAGGGAATTGACCAGGAAATGGTGAAGAATAGTCATTAATGATGCAGATATCCCTTCCCTGGAGATGTCATAGAACGCGGTGAGAAGAATGAATAATTGGGTCACTTTTTGCCACCTCAGCAAATAATTTCTGGGTGAGAAGGTCCTTCTCGATTGAGGGCTTCAGGCATTCAACCTCCACTGACCTGCTTACCTGCAGCAGGCGAACAACAAATGTAGGGGGTTCCTGACTGGGAAAACGGGGCAGTGTGCCTGCTGGGTTTGGGAGATGGAAAGTTCCTCCATTTTGCCATTCTGAGAGGGGACATTGAAGGGGAGCAGTCACTTGCTGCTGTAAACTACACTCATAAGCCTTGTCTCCAACTCCCTTCTACCATCCACTCCCTGCAACCTGCACCACTACCCCTGAGACCCTCCATCCCCAACACAAATGACTTACTGTCTCGATGTTCAGCTCTTTTTGGATATGCAGCCTGGAAATTCATTATCTTTGTGAGTGCTGTTGCTTTCGAAGGTGCCTTGGTGAGTTGTTGCAGTGTATCTTTTACATGCCACACACTGGTGTCACTGTGTGCTGATGCTGGAGGGAGTGAATGTTGAAAGTCATGACGGAGCGCTGATTAAGCTGGCTGCTTTACCCTAGCTTGTCTTGTGAATGAATGAATGAATGATTTTGTTGTCACCTGTATTTTACAGTGAGAACAGTAAAATACAGTCAAAATCTTTTCCAATGTTGCTACAATCCAGTGCCATTTTGAATAGTTTTAACAATAAGAAAAAGATGACAGCTTAACCAGAGTCCATCAGTCCTGAGCCAGCTCATCATCAACGACACTTGCGCCGTTCTTCCTCCTCCACTGCTTTGCTGCTGTCTACACTCGACCCAACCAGTGTTGAAGTTGCCACTCGTCAGACAGCATCTTTGCCACTGGATCTACGTCCCCAACATTTCCTATTCAAATATAGCAACCGCCGATTCTGATGCCAGATTCTGTAAGTAACGACTCAATTGTTGCTGCCATGAGGTCCCCACTGGGCTCACTTGGCACCATGAGTCCGCGCTGGGCTCGCTCAAGTCCATCCTGGGCCCTCTTGAGTCTGCGCTGGGGTTCCTTGTCGCTGTCGATGCTACTTGAAGTCAAGACAAGAGGTAAGTAAAAAGAAAAGCAGTCAGAGTGGATGAGCCCCAGTTCAGGAACCCTACTCTGCTGCCATCTTAATGACGATCAAGTAACACTTGATGATGAATGTTACTGGTAATGCACTCATCTAGACATTTGGAGATGAGTTCATGACAGTCCTGACTTGTGACTTGTAAATTGTGAACAAGCAATGGGGGAGACAGGTGAATTACTTGCCGAAGATTTCCTAGCCTCTGGCCTGCTTTTGAAGCCACTGGATTTGTCAGGCTGTTGCTTATAGGTTGCTCACTGACTGATGCTCAGTCTGTGTTCTACACTCCAGGCGGCTCCTCACATCAGAACATTCTTGGTTCTAACTTGGACAAAAGAGTTCAACACAGAGCAGAAGTGAGTGACTTCCCTAGACATCAAGGCTGCATTTGATTGAATGGTGTATCGAGGAGTCCAAGCAGAATTAGAGTCAATGAGAATCAGGAGGAGATACCTCTCTGCTGGTTGGAGTTATAGCTAGCACAATGAGGATGGTTGTGGTTGTTGAAGATCAATCACCTCAGCTCCAGAACATCACTGTACAAGTCCCTCAGGGTAGTGAGGAACAAAGGACTGCAGCAGTACCAGAGGGCAGCCTTACCACCATCTTCTCAATGGCAATTAGGAATGGGCAATAAATGTTTATTTGGCCAGCGAAGTGCACATTCAATGTGTGAATTGAAAAAGGAGGAGAATTTAGCGATGCTAATGCCACTAAGTGTGAAGGAGAGATGGTGAGGATCTCTAGATTTTCTCTCATTCAACCTGATTATTGCCACTCATGCCTGGTGTGAACGTGACTTGCCATTTTTCAGCCCAATCGTCGATACTGTCTCGGTCTTGCTGCTTCAGCATCTGTGAATGACGCTAATCATTGGACAGTCATCAGCAAACATCCCCGGTTCTGATTTTATGATGGAAGAAGGGTCACGGAGGTATCAACCGTGGGTTGGACCTTGGACACTCTCCTGAGGAACTCCCGCAGAAGCTGGAAAGGGCTGATCAAGCCAATCTGAGCCCGGAAAACAGGACCAGATACCAGAAGATGTTGAGTTTTGGGTAAACTGCTGGCTGGGAATTTGCACCGCTGGCCTTTTCACTCTTCCTCTGACACATGCTTTCTTTTATTTGATCGCTTGGGATACACCGATCCCGGGGAAAGCTCACTCAGAAACTCCTCAGACTCTTTGTGATGCCTCCTCTCAGGACACTGAGAGAACCCACACACCCAGAGCCAAAAGAGATTGGCTCAGAGTCAGCTGGTTACGTCTTGCTGACTGGGGGGGCAAAGGGACGAGCTCAAGTTGGTTGCGACTATTTAAATCCCAATCATGGGCTACAGGCCGTCCAAAGGTCTGAGAAACCCAGCAGAGACCACCACCATGGCAGGCGTCGTTGTTGGGAAGGGAGTGGGGCCGGGACAAACAGGCGGGCGCAGCAAGGTGACAGACATCGCTGGCATCCAATCGGCGCCCATCCCCTCTGACAGCTTCGCCAACAGGAAGGCCGGGTGCGCGGTGGGGGGCGGGACCTGCCGCCGACCGTTGGTGTTTGGGCGGCGCGCGCGCCTGTTTTTCGCTTTCGAAAAGCGTTGAGCGCACGGGGACGTTTTTCACACGAAGTTGCAGAGCTGTGCGTATCGTCCAGCAGGCGAGCTCCTTTGGTTTTGTTGAACGGTATTGGACAAATGATGAGGTAAACTGCCCTTATTTTCTCTTGGTGATGGTCTGATACTCAAAACACAATTTTTACGCGCGTTTCGAGCTTGTTGCGGTCGTGCCCATTGCTGTAATTCGCACATTTTTGTTCGCAGGGGGAGTGAGTGTGGTGAAACAGGTGGAATTGCTTCGCGACAAGTTTTCTTTCTTTCAGCACTGGCAGCTTGTGCTAAAAATACAATGTTTGCTTCGTGCCAACTCTTGGTCTCTCTGTCTGTCACTGTCTTGATGGAATGACATAAGCTGCCTTCGGCCGCCTGATACATTTTTTGTCTTTATTTTCATACTTCGCCCTGAAATTTACGCACCGCTCAGCAAAGAGGGTTCTGTGTTTGTTGGCAACGGAACTGTCAACATGAGGAAAAGTTCGTTCGGGATCGGATATTCCTGTCTGCATGTTGTCCCAAGGCGGATCCCACAGAAAGACACAGAGAAGCATTGTTGGCAAACCTTTCCTGACAGCAGAACGTTCAGAGAACTCAAAATGGTCCGGAAGAAAGATGGACCTACGTTTGCACACACAGCCTTTCCCAACCTGCAGATGACCTAGTGCTTGGCTGTTCGTGGGAAACAGCGCAGCCAGTTTCTGCACAGCAAGATCCTACATGCAGCACGCTGATTAGGAGCAGTGAATCTGTTCTTTTTTCGTTATGTTGGTCAAAGGATAGATTTGGTCGAGGACATGGGGAGAACTCCCCACTTCTTTAAGTTAGTGCAATGGGATTTTTTTTCCTCCAGCTCAGGTATTCTGAGTTTAAAGTCTCATCCAGAAGAAAACAACTGAACCACCTGAAGCTCTGAAAATCTATCTCCCAGCTGTAACCACCACCACCAACCTAAATATTTGCATTTCTTGTTGCTACCTGAAGACACTGCTTTAAATTGACATGCAGGCAAAATACTGCCGCTGCTTGAAATCTGAAATAAAAATGCAAAGTACTGGGGAAACTCAGCAGGTCTGGCAGCATCTGTGGCGAGAGAAAGAGAGTTAACTCTTGAGTCCAGCCTGCCTCCTCTTCAGAATAGTTTTACTCCTTCAAAACTGATCCTTTCCAAAGATTTCCTGAGAATGGTTCGGCATTAAGTTTTGTTTGGTAAAGCTCTGAGTGACAATATTGCTGCAGAAATACAAAGAGTTGTTGTTTGTTACTGTTTGTTTTGTTTGAACAAAAATGCCTCAGCTTTGGCCATTATGTTGCCATTTGTTGATTGTCAAAACACCACTGACGTTTCCCTGACATGGATACTTCAGGAGATGATGGTGATATTTACATACAAAGCACCCCATCTAACTGTCATAGTTTCACTGGGGTCCATGAATTTCTTCACATACACGCAGTTCAGATCTGATGCCAGCCTTTTTCTATGAGGACACTAATCCAGATATCAAGTCCCTTGAAGTTTTCAGTTTCATATTGTTGGTAATACCTTCTTGAGGTCTTCTGGATGATCACTCTTTTAAAGTAGCGTTTCAAAGAAATGGTTTTTAGTTGGTCTGAAAATTGGCATTCTCCAGCTGCAAAATTTGGCACTTGAAAATCAGGAAGACAGTAACACTTCTTGAATTTTGTTGATCAACATACTGAACCCACCAGTTGTACACTTTGAATTAGAATTAAATTTTATAGTTATTTGTACTCAAGCATTGGAATACATGAGTACAGTGAAAAGTGTACCAAGTTGCCATTCTCCAGTACCATCTTGGTTACAAAACCAGAATTTAAAAAAGGTAAGAGAGACATCCAGATCTTAAAGCCTAAGTCTTATCTCCATAAAGGTTTTTGGAACCACCAATGTTGGCACTCAGGCCTAGCTATGGCCTAGAGTCTTGGTCAGCCTGTGGGTCTCTCGTTGATCAATCGCAGGTGCTGTATTCTTGATGCCACTACCTCCTGCAGTCATTGTAGGAGCTTTGCTGCCACTTGAAGCCAGTTTCTCTGAGTGGTAAAACGTGATGACGAGGGATTATTCAAAAATTAAATTAATACCGTAGTTGACAAAGCCCAAGGTGGCCCAGCTAGCAATTTGTTTGCACTTCACACCCTTTCGTTCAATCAGCAGGACCCGGAAGCATTTCAAAAACAACGTATTTGTGTCCATTTGCACTTTGGCACTGGACCCCAAACCATCACTTCTGTTTTCAATTCTTTTCTCTTCATTCCTCTCTCCTTATTATCATGTGTGCTTTCATTTCTCTTCTCTTGGGGATGCTGTCCCCATACATTCCTTCCCCACCCATACAGTATTCCTAGACCTTCCTAGTCTTATGTTGCCACATCAAGCATGACTCCCTTTGAGATAAGCTGACAGTTCCCTGCTGTACTTGTTATGTTTTGAAGGTCTAGATGCTTCCAAAAGGACAGGAACCCTAATTACCACATTTTCCTCCCTCTCTTTATTTTTTTACCCAAAACAGCTCATGGAGACTATTCTTGACAATATTCTCCCCACGAAACTTGTCCCTGACAGTAGTGACCCTGTGCTTGTGGCCAGTGGATGAGTCATTTTTGTTGCCTCCCCAACCCTTCTCATGGTGATCGTTCACTCATAAATAAAGTCCTTGCTGTCTGTGCATTTATTCTGGGTGATTTGATTGATGTTGTGGCCTTGGTGGAACTATGGCTGAGAAGTGATGACACTTTTCTTATATATGAAGCTATTCTGCCACATGCTTTGCACAGACGGTCGGCGTGTTATTATCGAGTCATGGAGTCATACAGCATGGAAACAGAACCTTCAGTCCAACTAGTCCATGCTGACCATGTTCCCAAACTAAACTAGTCCCACCTGCCTGTGTCTGGGTCACATCACTTTTTGGTCTGCCCGCTCCACCGCTGACACTTTTTGTCCCAGTTGTAAAGTTATATAGCATAGAAATGGATCCTTCGGTCCTACTCATCCATGTTGACCAGGTATCCTAAATTGATGTGGTCCCATTTGCCAACATTTAGCCCATATCTCTCCAAACCCTTCCTGTTCGAATATCTTTTAAATGTTGTAATTGTACCCATCCCCGCCACATCCTCTGGCAGTTCATTCCATACACACACCATGCTCTGCGTGAAAAAGTTGCCCGTCAGATCCATTTTAAATGTCTCCCCTCTCACCTTAAACCTATGCTGCCTAGTCTTGGACTCCACTAGCCATGCCCCACATGGTTTTAGAAATCTTGAGAAGGTCACCCCTCAGCCCCCAACGCTCATGGGAAACATGTCACAACCTATTCTGCCTCTCCCTATGGCTCAAACCCTCCAACCCTGCCACCATCCTTATAAACCTTTTCTGCATCCTTTCAAATTTAACAACATCTTTCCTGTAGCAGGGAGACGAGAATTGAACACAGTATTCTGTAAGTGGTCTAACCAATGTCCTGTACAGCCGCAGTATTACATTCCAACTCCGAAAAAAAATTTAAAAAGTATGAAAAATATGAAAGAAATGACAGGGAAAGAGAACTCTGGAGAGGTTATTAAAGTCTCCAGCACAGACACAAATAGGACAGAGTGTTTGGAAAGGGCTAGCAATCAAACACTGGAAAAATGAATGACAATGAGAAGAGGGAGGGTTAATACAGGACTGAAGGTGTTATATCTGAATGCACGCAGTATAAGGAATAAGGTAAATGAGCTTCTGGTGAAGATCGAAATTGGCAGGTATGATGTGGTGGGCATCACGGAGACGAGACTGTAAGGGGATCAGGATTGGGAACTGAATACCCAAGGATATATATCCAATCGAAAAGATAGGCAGGTGGGCCGAGGGAGTAGGGTTGCCTTATTTGTGAGAAATCAAATTAAATCAGTAGGAAGAAACGAAGTAGGGTCAGATGGTGTAGAATCTGTGTGGGTAGAATCGAGGAACTGCAAAGGTAAAAGAAACCATAGTTGGACTTGTGTGCCGGCCTCCAAACAGTAGTCAGGAGCTGGAGTGCAAGCTACACCAGGAGATAGAAAAAGTGTGTAAGAAAGACAAAGTCAGAGTGATCATGGGGGATTTCAATATGCAGGTGGACTGGGAAAATCATGCTGGTAGTGGATTGCGAGAAAAGGAGTTTTGTGGAATGTCTACGAGATGGCTTTTTGGAGCAGCTTGTGGTGGAGCCCACAAGGGAACAGGCAATACTGGATTTAGTGTTGTGCAATGAGGCAGACTTGATAAGGGAGCTTAAGGTAAAGGAACCCTTAGGAGGCAGTGATCATAAGATGATAGAATTTACTCTGCAATTTGAGAGGGAGAAGATAGAATCATAGGTAACAGCATTACGTCTGAATAAAGGTGACTACAGAGGTATGAGGGAGGAGCTAAGCAGAATTGACTGGAAGAGGAGTCCAGTAGGAAAGAACAGCAATAGCAGGAGTTTCTGGGATTAATTCAGGAGATGCAGCAAAAATTCATCCCTCGGAAAAAGAAGCATGGTACAGGGAAGATGAGGCAACCATGGCTGACTAAAGAAGTCAGAGATAGCATAAAAGCAAAAGAGAAAGCATATAATGTGGCGAAGGGCAGTGAGAAACCAGAGGACTGGGAAGCATACAAAGATCAACAGAGGGCAACAAAAAAATAAATAAGGAAGGAGTAGATTAAATATGAGGGTAAGCTAGCCAGTAATATAAATGAAAACTTAAGAGTTTCTTCAGATATATAGAGGACAAAAGAGAGGCAAAAGTGGACATTGGACCACTGGAAAATGACGGTTTAGTAGTGGGGAACAAGGAAATGGCTGAGAAACTGAATAATTACTTCGCGTCAGTCTTCATGGTGGAAGACGTGAGTAATCTCCCAAAAATTCAGGGGGCAGAGCTGAGAATGGTGGCTATCACCAAGGAAAAGGTGCGAGTAAAACTGATTGGCCTGAAGGTGGACAAATCACTTGGACCAGATGGACTACACCCCAGAGTTCTAAAGGAGATAGCTGAAAAGATAGTGGAAGCGTTAGTGGTGATCTTTCAGGAATCGCTAGAGTCAGAGAGGGTCCCAGAGAACTGGAAAATCACTAACGTGACACCCCTGTTTAAAAAGGGAGTAAGGCAAAAGACGGAAAATTATAGGCCGATTAGCTTAACCTCGGTCGTGGGTAAGATTTTGGAGTCCATTGTAAAGGATGAGATTTCTGAATATTTGGAAGTGTATGGTAAAGTAGGGCAAAGTCAGCTTGGTTTCATCAAGGGGAGCTCATGCCTGACACAACTGCTAGAATTTTTGAGGAAGTAACAAGCAGGGTAGACCAAGGAGAGCCAATGGATGTTATCTATCTGGACTTCAAGAAGGCCATTCAGAAGGTTTCTGAATGTACAGGACCTCCAGCAGCAGGTCCCAATGGTCATGCCATCTTGATGTGCAATCTTGATGTGATTTGATAAAATATGTCAACACTTAAAACTTACAGTATTTTCCTTCACAGCTTGGCAATGGGTAATTGAAAGGGAGGAAAACACCCCATTTGATTGAGATTGCTCTCCTTTTTTAAACTAATTCTCTACATATTTCTGAGAATGTGTTACCTGAATTTGAGTATGTTCTCATTTGATTGTGACATATGTGTACATGCAGCAGGAGTTACAAATGAGAAAATAAAGAGAGCATTTAGCAGCATCTTTCATGACCACACACCCTCCCAAAATGCAGTCAGTCAAGTACTTTTGGAATGACATAGATTTGATGGATAGTGTTTAATAAAGGAACTATAGTTGAGGTTTTTCCTCTCCCAGACTTGGAGCTGAAGACGTTGATTGTGATGGCCTGACCAACTGATACCTGTAACACTTGTCTTCAGCAAAGGTGAATACTTCAGCTTTGCTGTTTGGAGTGCAGAGTATTTAACACTAGTTTGGGCATCAAAATTTTGTCATCACGAGTTGCACCGGTACTGTGCATGACTTGGATTAGCCATTCAGCTGGCATTTCTTTAGTTTGATAAGAGGAACATGAAAAAGAACTTGAGGGGCCACTGATGCATTGTGTGCTTAGGCAGGCATCATGAATGAGTTCAGAACTGGGTTTGTAAGGAGACACTGTTATCATACACAAAGTCAAATTACTGCAGATGCAAGTACTGCAGGCCTGAAATATATTAAGAGCGTGTTTGAAATGCCAGTAGGTCAAACAGCATCTGTGGAGAGACCCAGCATAACCATTCCATGTTGGTGCCTTTTTGTATGAAAAGTAAGTTCAGATTTAGTGGTGTGGGGGATAAAACACCCAAAGATAGACTTTGATCGAGTGAAGCCAGGGAAAGATTAAATGACAAAAGATTTGCAATAATGGCAAAAGAGGATGGTAATAGAATAAGTCAAGAAATGAAAAGTGGATAAAAATGGGTATAAGTGATAACAGGAGAAACAGCATGTGCTGTCTGAAATATTGGGATCACTGGTTGTGTCCTGAAATTGTTGAATTTAATCTTGAGTCTAAATGAGAAGTGAATGAACTGCAGATGCTGGAAATCAGAAACAAAACCAGAAATTGCTGGAAAAGCTGAGCAGGTGTGGCAGCATCTGCAGAGAGAAATAACAGTGAATATTTTGGCTGCATTGACCCTTGGAACTACTCAATTTTGAAGAAGGATCACTGGATTCAAAATATTAACTCTGGTTTCTCTCCACAGATGCTGCCAGACCTGCTGAGCTTTTCCAGCAATTTCTGTTTTGTTGGGGGTATGGTGTTTGCTCAATTAGGTTGTAAAGTGATGGAACATATGATACAAATTGAAACTGACAAATCTTTGCCAACCTGTCTGCCCTCAATTACATTGGTTCACAGCTTTGTCCAGCAAACATCAAACAAGATGGTGGATTCATAAAGTTGTTAGAATTTGAAATAGTCACCAAATTATTAATCAGAGTAGTGCAAAGTGATACTTGGCCAGATTAACCAATAACCTGTCTGAAATGAGAAAGGCACTTTTGTAAAAATAATGCAGGGCAAGCAAAGTCAAAAATATTTTTCTTACTGAAATATAGTGTGCCGTGGAAAAAAGGTATTAGCATGATCTGAATATGAAATTTCCTGTCAAATTTAGGACTGCAATATCAGATTGTAATCATCTGGACTTATTGTTTCTGTGTGCTAAAGAGTATTTCATAAGATTTGACAGGCAGTTGAAGAATAAGTGTAATTTTTGTTTTTCAGCATGATGTGGCCTGTGACTCTTCTGTGGGTTGGACTGGACATTCTTTTGTATCAGGAAGTTGCTTCTTTGATGAATGACGAAGAAACTATGTGTATTATTGAAAAAATTAGCGACGATAGCATTTGCAGGTAAGTAGGAGCAAAAGCATGATTGAGTAACCCCAGACTTAGCATGTGATTAGCTGCTGAAATGAAGACATTTGTAAATCACAATTGGGGACAAGCAATTGATTGAAAATAGTACTTGCACTGCTTATATTCATGTTACACTGATGACATTCTGATTGAAAGAGACATTTTTTAACATAGGTAGAGATTTGGCTGAAATGCAAGTTGCGTTTAATAATTGTAGTGCATTCTGTTCACAGTTAACCCAATGTCTGCCTTTTGTCATTTCTTTTACTTTGATTTTTATTCATTCATTGACAGGATGAGAGCGTCGCTGGCTAGGCAGCATTTACTACCCATCCCTAATCGCCCAGAGGGCAGTTCAGAGTCAACCATCTTACTGTGAGTCTGGAGTCACATGTAGGCCAGACCAGGTAAGGATGGCAGTTTCCTTCCCTAAAGGACATTAGTGAACCAGATGAGATTTTCTGACAATCGATTCATGGTCATCATTAGATTGTTAATTCCAGATATTTTATTGAATTTAAATTCCAGCATCTGCAGTGGTGGGATTAGAACCCAGGTCCCCAGACCATTATCTGGGTCTCTGGATTAACAGTCCAGCAATAACACCACTAGGCCATCACCTCCCCTTTACTTTGATGTTCATTTGTTCATGTATCTTCTGGAGTGATTTCTGTTTCTTCCTGTCATTATTTGACACTTTAATTTAAATGTTCTTGAAAGAGGAAAAACAATGTCTGTCAGGAATAAATCAAGTGAGGAACCCCTTTCAAAAATTATTGTCACAATGGGTAGGCGATGGCCTACTGATATTATGACTAGACTATTGATGCAGAGACCCAGGTAATGTTCTGGGGACCTAGGTTTGAATCCTGCCATGGCAAACGGTGGAATTTGAATTGAATAATAATCTGGAATTAAGAGTCTAATGATGACCATGAAACCATTGCCAATTGTTGGGTTCACTAATGTCCTTTAGGGAAGGAAATCTGCCACCCTTACCTGGTCTGGCCTACATGTGACTCCAGATCACAGCAATGTGGTTGACTCTTGACTGCCCTCTGGGCAATAAATGCTGGTCCAGCCAGCGATGCCCACATCCCATGAATGAAATGCTTGGTGTAAGATGAATAATGAATGTTGCAAGTTGTAATGACATGCACGCGATAATTCCAAAAAAAAGGTAGGGTTAATGGCGAATATAAATATCATCCACTTGTTAAAACTAAGGAAGTTTTCATTCTGGTAAGATCCTTTGCTCCCCTTTTGATTTAATGAAAGCCAAGGAAGTTGACTTTGTGGCATTCTGTGAGGTCTGATTTAATCTTCTGCAGACCATTATTAAGTTTGCAGAAATATCTTCGCGATTCTTAGGCCAACTTATTTTTATTCCTGTTTGCCATCATATACAGACCGAAATATTGGCACAGTCAGCACCCAGGAATATCTGAGAACACTTAGCAGAAGCTGACAGGGTCATTGTTCACTCAAGGAACGAGAGACATAGCTTCACAGTATAATTGAAGTGTAGGTATCATGTGAAGCTATTAACTGAAGCACAAACAAGAATGGTGAGAAAGGCAACAAAGTGATAATTAAATATGGGGACAGGAGTAGGCCATTCAGCCCTTTGAGCCTTTTCACCATTTGGAGAGATCATGGCTGATCTGCAACCTGACCCCAATTACCTGCCTTTGGCCCATGTCCCTTAATACCTTTGCTTAACAAAAAGTTATCTCACTCAGATTTAAAATTAACAACTGATCCAGCGTTGACTACCCTTTGTGAAAGAGAGTTCTTTCTGAACCTCTCCCAATCTTTGAGTGTAGAAATGCTTCCTAGCATTTCTCCTGAACAATGTGGCCCTAATTCTCAGACTATGGGAAGCACGGTGGCTCAGTAGATAGCACTGCTGCCTCATAGCACCAGGGACCTGGGTTCGATTCCATCCTCAGACGACTGTCTGTGTGATGTTTGCATGTTCTCTCTGTGTCTGTGTGGCTTACTGCCGGGTGCTCCGGTTTCCTCCAACAGTCCAAAGATGTGCAAGTTAGGTGGATTGGCTGAATTGTCCATAGTTTTCAGGGATGTGTAGGTTAGGTACATTAGCTATGGGAAATACAGGGAAAGGGTTAGGGGATAGGTCTCGATGGGATGGTCTTCAGAAGGTCTTTGTGGACGTGTTGGGTTGAATGGCCTGTTTCCACACTGGGGATGCTGTGGTGATACTCTATGCCCCCTTGTTCTAAAATCCCTGTGCAGTGGCAATAATGGGCAAGATAAAGCTCTAAAGATTATGTGTGATTTTACACAGCATTAGAATGTAAGTAGAGTCTCTTAGCAGAGTGAAAAGGACAGCTTCTTTGAGATGCAGTGAACTGTGCTTGAATGGACTAAACCTGAACGTTTCAGTGAATAAGACATGTGCACGCGCAGACAGTGGTTCAGAGACATAACCGTAAATTTCTGCACCCGCAAAACCATTGTACTTTCTTTGTCATACTGCAAAAACTAGGGATTTGTTTATTTTGTAACAGATTACTGTTTCTGCATCTTGTTGAAGTCATATTGTTATGGACTAGTTATTATTTCTAAGTATTGTGGATAATTTGTGCTTTTGATTTTTAGCTAGTGTAGAGAAGAGTAAATTATCATGTTGAAAAGATCTGTTAAGGTTTTGGATGTAACATCGTGCTTCTGATGGGACTGGTACTTTTAATGTATTGTAAAATTGTAATTTTTGAGAAATGCCGGTTATATAATTGTGCGTTTGATGGTATAATTTCATATAAATGCTGAGCACTAACTATCAATGAACCTGGAGTATATTACTTTTAGGCAGATGATACAAAAGAAAGAATGAAAATTGTGACTTTATGACTCAAAAAGACCCAGAGGCTAATCAGGTACACTTCTCATCTTTTCTCTTCATGAACCTTCAGATCTCATGTCATTTTCTTATTTTCTGTAATACTTTTATATTTCTCATTTGGAAACAGCTATCAAGTTCCCTTTTTGCTGCATCTTAAATTGTTACAGTCTCCCTGGTGAATAAAAAAAACTGTCAATATTGGTTGTGGCATAACTTTCCATAATTTTACTATCTGTGTTAGGTTTTTCTTCACTAATCCAAACAATTGTGAAACCTTCTTCAATTCTTTGATTGCTCTTCAGCAACTCCCCACACAACACAAACCTCCTTGTTAAGATCCGAGTGAAACTTTCTTCAAGGTTTGTAGATTCTTCATTGACCCTTGTTTTCCACGAGCAAAAACTTTGCCAATGAGTATATGTGTCTTTGAGCACATGTCCTGGAAATTCATGCCATCTATGTCAACAGCATTTTCTTTATTGACCGTCTGTTACTTCTTCAAAAAAAACTCCAATTCAGTCAAAATGTGATTTTTCATGAAGTTTTTACGTTTTTTCATGAATTTTCATGCATGTTTTCTTTAGCCCATATTTTCCCAAGGAAATGTTCATTTTGTGTTGAATGATTGTTTCCAGAAGTTTCCCAGCACTCCCAATTTTAAGTGCGGTTAACAGCAGCCTTTCAGGAGCAGATATGTTTCCATTTGAAGGTTTCTGATGAGAAATTTCAATGAAGTTGTGCTCCTCAGTGTCACCTTGTCTTGTTGATTATAGAACACTGCTTAATGATGATGCCACATTAAATGCTGAGCAAATTAACTTATATTTAAGTGACTTAACAACATCAGCAAGGGTATCTCCTGCGCTCTTGCAATGTAAACGTGAAAGTGGACACTGGACCTTCCTTATCCATTTCATTGGAAGATGCTGTATTGTCCACTTTAACACAAACTATTCCGTGATTCAGTTTGCATCTCAAAGACTGAGATCCTGTAGTAGCTTATTTGTACCACAGGGTGGTACAGATGTGCTTTGAATTTCTTCATTCTCAGTTGCACCTCTGGCATCTGCTAAAGTCAAACAAAGGAGACTTTTGTTTGCAGTACAACGTTTTCAAAATTCAGAATTCCGTGTACTTAATGATTGATTGCTTCTGTATTTGTACTCTGGGTAAAACCTGAACCTTGACTTTAGATCTGACTCTATGATTAATTCAAAACCATACATTTGTGTTTTCTTGGAGTAGCTTTCAAGAATCAATCGTGTTTAGGTCATAAAAAGAATTGACTGAATTTGGATATGGCTACTAATAGCAACAAAGATTTTGCCATTGGACTCTCCCACCATCACATCATTCTTTTCTGTCCTGTAATTAGAGTGTGCAATTGTTCTTAGGTGTCAGATACAGCAGTAACATGTTTTACCCTTGCTCTGTAGTGGCATCTTGTGTAAAAAGTAAAAACATGATATGATTCGAGCATGTTGTGTAACATAATATGTATATGTATCTCTTTGAGACAGCAATACAATTCACAAAACAGAATGAGATGATTGACGGGTGATTTGATATTTGATATTATTGTCAGAAGGTGAAAAGCTAGTCGGTGCATGAGAAGAGCTCCCCAGTCTTCTGCAAGCAGTGCTGTGGATCTTTAACCTTCACTTAAATAAATTGATTTAACCGAAGATGACTTTTCCAGAAGTTTAACAGTTTTGACTGGAAAACATAGCAAAACAACAGTGTTTGCATTTATATTGTGCCTTTAGTGTGTTAAAACGACCAAAGACACTTCAAAGGAATATTATAAGGCAAGATTTGACAGGGTGACATGTGGGTATATGTGACGAATTGACTAAAATCTTCAACCGAAGAAGTAGATTTTTGAGACAGTTAGTTTTGAAGGAAGAAGGAGAATAAGACCTGGTGGGATGTAGGGAGGGAATTCCAGAAACTTGGACTTTGGCAGCTGTAAATATTTCAGGTAACACTGAATAGGCCAGAATTAGAGGAACTCATAGGCCTCTGAGGATTGTGGGGCTGGCGTAGCTTGTACAAAATGGGACAGCTGAGCTGTAAGTGATTTGAAAACAAGGCTGAGAATTTTCAAATTGAAGTGTTGCCAAAACAAGGTCTGTTAAGTCAGAAAAAAACAGGGGTGATTTGGACTGTGCTAGCTAGGACAGAGGCAACAAAGAGGTTTGAATGTTGGAAATCTTTTGAAGGTATTACACAAGAATGTTCACATAGGCAATGTACTTAAATCTTGATGTGAGCTTTGACCCTACTGCAGTCGAGGGCAATTTTTGTCACGCTTTTGATAATGTAAGGAGGAACATTGGAAACCTTGGCTAGGAGTTTTACATCTTCATTTGCTGAATGCCAAATTCAGTTTGTTGTTTCCAGTGTTCCATGTTTAGTTTTGTTGATCATCCTGTTTGGAAATGTTATGGCAAACCTCTGCGGCACGTGCATCATGAACCTGGCCATTCTGGCCCAGAGGTAGGAACCCATTTCCACTCTTAGTTAGTTATAATGAACAAAGTTATCAGATGCAAAAACAGAAATTGCTGGAACAGCTCAGCAGGTCTGGCAGCATCTGTGAAGAGAAATCAGAGTTAATGTTATGGGTCCAGTGACCCTTCCTCAGATGTTGGAGAATCTCTGTGACAAGACAGTTGATTAAAATAACAGTTTGGACTTCATCATCAGAATTAAAAATTTTAGAGATTTTTACAATTCTGCACCTTCCATTCTGTCCGCAATTAGACTTAGGAAAATATTTTCTTTATTTTTAGAGGGGAGCTCCTTGTGATTTATCCAGATTTGGGAAATGCAGCCTGTGCTGTCATCCCAAGATGCCGTCAGTTTCGAAGACTGCTGAGTGAAGAATGGGGAGAACCACGTGTAAAATTTGTTCAAGCTAAGAAGGTATCAAATAAGCATGACTTCTAGTGCTGTTTTTAATTTTTGTCCAAGATTTCAGCTGAAGTGATTAACGACTCGTTGTTTTGAAGGGTTATTCTGTCAGTGACTTATCTCTATGCATAGTAACATTTTTTGAGGTGAGAAGAGAAAAGTGGACAATGAACTGCAAGAATTGTAGAATAACAGTAAAGTTAGCTGTACTTGGAATAAATAACCTTTTAGAATAGGGAGTTATTTCAGTTCAATGAAGTAAATTCTAATTTACAGTTAGCTCTGTCTTTATACCATAGAGTGATGCAATTGTCTCCAGAGTGTACCAAATTGCTTTCTCTTTGTCTATCTACAATGATATATGTGCCACGAGCACTGTATTTCATTACTTCCATTTTGGATAAAACTTAATTCATACTTTATGAAATAAATTAAAATTTGCATATTATAATTAGATTTTAGGCCCAGTGCCATATTTCAGGGTTGGATTTGCTGCCAGTTATCCTTAGTACTATACTTTTGGGGTATTCAACCAAGTTGATGATGCACCTGAAAGTTAAAAGTGATGGATTGAGCAGATGTTTGAGCACGATTTGATGCAAGAATCAAACCAGGTCAGAGGCTATACATCGTGGGCAGTCACAGTTGCTTGCAATCTTGCGGGGATATGATATGGAGCTGGGTCTTGGGGAGTTAAGAGGATGGGGTTATCAGGCTGATGAGCTGGGTCTTGGAACTAAGGCTGCAGGCAATGGCAAATTGGGCTGAACTAATAATGGGTGAAAGCTGCAAACCTTGGTGTGGATGGAGTTGGGCGGGTGAGGATGGAGTTGAACTGCATTCCAGCCTCAGACTGAGGTTACTTTCAGGAATTGAAGCGCTCTTGAAGGTACAGAGTCGACTTAGGCTTCAGTCTCTACAACACAAGGACGGTGTAGTGGAACTTTCTGTTATGGATCTATCCATTTAAAGCATTGTTTTCTCTGGGACTTGTGCATCACATAATCTTCAACATATAATCAACATCAGTGATCAGTTAATTAAAAGAAAGTGGACAGGCTCACGCACATACTTAATTATTTGTATTCTTGAACACTAACAATGATCAACTGGAATTTGTTTTGTTAATCCCCATGATTTGAGTACACCAGTTTAGATTTAATAGCTGCTGAAGCCTAATTTCTTCCCCTCGATGTTTTTAAACAATTAAGTAATGATTTGATGGTAAATGGACCAGAGAGTGAGATTGAAGGGGAAATAATGCAACAGTAGATGGCAATAGAACAATTGAATTTCACTCAGGGTTCCTCTGAACAGAATGACGTGATTTCTTTGTAACTTACTCCTTCCTGTGGGTTCTCTGGAATGTGCTGAACATAGATTTGCTTCATTAATCACCTGCAGGTTGTTATTCAATAAACATGTCCGAGGAATGTGACAATCTTGTATCATTGCAATTAAAAATATAAGGCATAGAACACTTCCAAGTCAGCGGCAGGGAAAAAAAGTCGTGACATTGCTTCTTATGCATTATCATCTAAATCAGGTAGTGATTTTTAGAACTTTAAATTCTGATTCAAATTACTGTGTAAGTTTGATTCTGAAAGTTTGTGATACCATCTGAATATAGTAATTAAACTAATGTGTTACAATCATTTGTAAGAATCCATTATTCTCTTAATAACAAACACATTTTAGACTGAAGCTCCAAATGAAATTGTTTTTGGACCCCTGCAGTTGTGTTCTGGCATTTTTAAATGACTGTTTTATGGGATATGTTCAAACTCCTTATTGAGCATTTTGTGTTGAATGCTTCTAAAAGTCCAGTGTTTAACACCGGTGAATGCAGAATTACAGATAGGTGCCTGTTTTTGTTGTTGATTAAGTTTTTGTTGTCTTACTATTTTGTATTGTTGTCTGTCTACTTCATTTGTTCTTCAAGAAGATTATTGAACTGATACGTGAAGGCAAACATTCTTTGTGAAGAAAATTGCATGAACTGGATGGAGTGCCTCTGTCTCATGACCAAAATCAATTTTCACACGTAACAATTTTACTTGCAACTTCATTTCATTTCTTAATGGTTGTATAATAACATTTTGATGGCCAATAAAAATAAGCATATTTCCTGTTGTGGCAGTTTGAGATAACTACTAAAGGATGTCAAATAACACAAAATCTCACAGTCAAATATGAATCACGTCACAGTTGCTACTTTATTTAATAAGGATGAAAGATTTGTTCAAGAAGTTAACAGGACAGGGTCGTTTTGTGTTTGAAATACACATCGTCATATTTGCCTGTTTCGGTTTTGTTTAATTTTCCAATTTTGTTTAGAAATCCTGTGGGGTGGGAGGGGAGGCAGATAATGTTTTGTGAAGGTAGATTTCCTGTCAAATACATTTTTGAGGGAAAATTGTGATTTTTAACACTCTTGGGAAACCTGGATAAGAATATTTGCAAGTCTTTCGTCGAGTCTTCAGTTTCATCTTATGGGACAACTGCAATAGATACCTTGACATAAAAATATTTGGTTGTGTCAAATCTGGGACACTTAAATCAATATAGAGGATTATACAAGTATTTTCATTTGCACGAATAAACTGATACCAAGTTACCACTTTTAAATATATCAATAAATACCAAATAATGAACAGGGGGGAAAAAACAATTCATTCTCATTCTTGATTGTGCGAGTTCACGGAGGATTTTATATTTGTGGTTATGCTCATGCGTTTAACTTTCTGACAAAGTTGAACCCAGGAGTGCAATTTTGAGCACATTATTAGGGCAACTTCCAGATTGTGCTGAAAGCAGAAACTGCATAAACATTTCACCAAACAATATGTTGAATTCTTTGAACAGGTTTTTTTTGTCTAAATTGTAAGATTGCCAAGTAACCATGTCAGTTGTGTTTTAGAATCTTTGTCATCTCCTCAAATGTTGGGGCTAAGCACTTTATTTGGTTAATGCGACCAACATTTTGGCTTTTACGTACAACTCGGTTCGTCAGGTACGAACGCTCAAGCTTGCAAGTTATGTGTTTTAGGATAGTACAAAACTGTCAAGTGTTGCTGGTGCTAGAATAATGTAAATTGGTGTTAATTCTGTTGGGAGTTTGATGGGGAATAATAAAACATATTTTTCTCACTTTTCAACTTATTTTCATTGATTTTCCTGAACTTTTATTACCAAAGTAGCTGAGGTTGGTAGATGGAAAACTGCCGCACAAAGAGATGAGAAGACAGCTGAATGAGAAGACAACAAATTTGGGCAACAGATGTACTTTTTATTGTGGAAATATGTTATTTGCATATGGAGCCAAAATGTCCATTTGTTTCCCAGTAGGTCACAAAAGAGGTTATTCTTTGTATGAGTTTGAACAGTTAATGTTGATAGACAATTCAATTGTGGAGAGACTTATTAGGAAAGGCTAATGATATTCTCACCAAATGTCCCACCAAGCATTGCACTTTGCTGCTGGAATTACGAGACAATTATTTTCTTTCCTATTTTCTCTAGCACAGGAAAAATCATATTAAACTGATAAATCTTATAGAGGGGCCATCATATTCAGGACCTTTGCTGATTAACTGTGCCAGCAGCCTAATGGCACTGTCCAATGTAAAAATGCTGAGTTTCCAATTATTTTGGACTTATTGCAAAACTATGAGATGTTTGAGCGCTTGAATCGCAAGAAGTTAGTATGCAGTTGAATCAAAATACTCGGAATAGCCATTGAATGTTATCATTTATTGCAAAATAAGTTAAATAGAAAAGTCAGGAGATCATGCTTCAATTGTAAAAGATACGGGGAGACCACATCTGGAGTACTGTGTTATGGGAGTGATTTCCTTATCTAAGGCTCAATGCAAATGTGCTTCTTGAGGTATTTCAGAGGAGGTTTACCAAATAATGATTGGAATGCGTTGGTTGTCTGATGCGGAAAGGTTATACAGACAAGGCTTATAGCTAATAGAATTTTGAAGAGTAAGCGGTGACGACTGAATCATAAAAGATCCTGAGGAGTCTTGATCTTAATTCTGGGAGAACCTAGAAGTAGTAGAACACTCAACATCCCCGTTCTGCAGAATGTTGGGTTCCTCTTCCTCTCGGTCACCAGACATATGATGGAGTTGGGATGAGAGTGTTTGAAGCTCTGGGTCTATTTTATTAACTTTTTAAATTTTATTTATTCATGGGATGTAAGCATCAATGGCCAGGCCAGCATTTATTACACATCCTAATTGTCCTGAGGGCAGTTAAATGTCAATTACATTACTATGGGTCTGGAGTCACATGTCGGCCAAACCAGGCAAGTACATTATAAGAACAAGATGGGTTTTTTTAATTGAAATGGTTTCATGGTCATCAGAAGACTCTTGATCTCAGACTTCCATTGGATTCAAATACCATCATTGCAAAATGTTCAGCACCATTTGTGATTTCTCAGATACTGAAGCAGTCCATGTTCAAATGCACCAAGGACGAGGGCTGCAAGATGGTGGGTGACTTTCATGCAGTGACCACCTTCAATAAGAGATAATCTGAGTCCTGCTGTGTGATTTGCAATGGCATTAGCTTCACTGAAACCCCCACTGTCAGCATCCTAGGAGTTACCATTGAACAGAAATTCAGCTGGATTCACATTATCAAGGCGGTAGCTGCAAGAGGAGGTCTGAGGCTAGGAAAACTCCAGGGAGTAACTCCCCAAAGCCTGTTCACCATCTGCTAGGCACAAGTCAGGAGCATGATGGAATACTCCCCACTTGCCTGAATGGGTGCAGCTCCAACAACATCCAGGACAAAGCAGCCCACTTAACTGGCACTACATCCACAAGCATCCACTCCTTCCACCACCAATGTTCAGTAGCAGCAATGCATACTATCTGCAAGATGCATTGCAGAAATTCACCAAAGATCCTGAGACATGACCTTCCAAACGCCCTTCCATCCAGAAGGACAGGAGCAGCAGAAACACAGGAAAGCCACCACCTGCAAGTTCCCCTTCA